GTTTTTTTATTTGGCCAGGGGATACTTCTCTATTTAAAGTTGTTCCCACTGTGGGTACTTCAGATACCCCTAGAATACATAATATCAAACTAGGATGAAGCCCTGCTGAACTTACATCTGGTTACAATTCAGACAACATGATACAGATACCTCTCTAAATATCACTACTTTTAGAAATCATGAGACATATGTGTATCTGAATATGATTATTTTAAATCCAATATGTTGTCTTTCAAGGAACTTGAAAGCTCTCTTTAATATATTATTTAAAACATCACTTTGAGCCCTGGCCGGTTTGGCTCAGCGGTTAGAGCGTCGGCCTGCGGTCTGGAGAGACCCGGGTTCGGTTCCCGCTAAGGGCATGTACCTTGGTTGCAGTTTGTCCCCGGCCCTGGTTGGTCGTGCGGGTGGCAGCCACTCGATGTGTCCCTTCACGTCGATGTTTCTCACTCTCTCTCCCTTCCTCTCTCTCCCTCCCATTCTATCTGTACCAAAAATGGAAAAAATATCCTCGGGTGAGGATAAAAAAAAAAAAAAAAAAAAAAATAAAACATCACTTTGAGCTTGTAGGCATAAAAAATATAATTTTTTCCCCATTTCACAGTTGGAAAAACTGAATTAAAGAGAACAATGCTAGTAATTATCCATGATTAATAGAGGTGTGTATGTAAATCAGCCTGAGTAAGTGTGTGAAATTAGATGTGCGGGTGCCAGAGAACTATGCTCATGTTTTTTAAAGATGAATGCTTTCATATAAATCTGTGTGAGCTGGGCATACATTCTGTGTGTTGAGTATATTTGGAAATGGAGTTTGGCAAAGTATATGGATATTAAGGTAACAGTATTGTGTATTATAAGCATTATAATCTATAAAGTATTCGATAACTTATTTCAATTCATCAGACATATATCTATCTAATGAACATAAATGCATACATAATATTTATTTAAAATGTACCATAGATTTACATATGTGTCTGGGTGCTGTGTTGGGTAGACTGGAATTTGGGTGTACTCTAATGATTAAGAAATATGGAAGAAGGTGCATGTTAATTTCTTAGGATTGTGGGAATTAGTTGAGTTAATACATGCAAGAAGACTTAGAACTCTATTGCCACATGAGAAGTCCATTATTGATGTTAACTATTATTATTATTATTATTAGACAAGGTGAAAGTGCTGTTAAAATAAGGAGCTGAAAAGAGGCGTTTTCTCATTGATACCCAGGATAATGTCCTACAGGAAATAAACAAAGCTGTAGGGATTATCCAGTCACCCTCACAGCATGGAACATTTTTAGGATTTTCTTCCAGCTTTCTTTCCATCCCATGGAGATAGATTTTGAGAACCCATTCCCAGGAATGCCAGGTGAGGGCAGGTATATCCCTGGCTGTTCTGATGCCAGGCCTGCCCATACCAACACCAGTGTCCCTTAGGAGGAAGCATACTAGGCAGACTTCAGATTTCTGCAAGCCTGGTTTGTCTGTGGATCGGATTTGAACTTTTTTTTAAACTTTAATTTTGGGGGATTGTTTTGTTTTTTGAGAAAGCTTTAGACAGCTGTATTAACTGTGCAAACCCAGCCATGTGCAATGTGTTTTATCAATGGAAAAACAAGAACTGAATGGCAAGTAGCTGTGAACACACCCAGGGCAATGCTCGAACCTGGAAGATCATCTCAACATTTCCCAAATCCACTCGCCATGTGGGATTAGTGAATGGAAAGGCTGTTCCCTTGAGATACATAATCAGATGGGAGGCAAACAAGTGAGACATTCCAGGGTCCTTACATTGTTTTAAGCTCCAGTGATAGGGAAGGATGGGCTGATTCAGCCCAGAGGGCCCTCAGCTCAAGGGAATCCTGCACTGGAAGGTGAAGAGAATAAGACAATGGTATTTGCCCTCATCCTTTTCTCTTCCTCCATGTCTCTTTAACTTTCTGAGGCTGGTTTGGTCACCTCATTTTGAACTTGCAGCCCTTCTAAGTGTGAGGGCTTTTCTAGGTCCACTTTCATCACAGGTGGGCAAGGCACAAGGAGGCCCAGAGGCAGGAGGCCTCAGGAAATGATTTGGAGAGAAGTGCCTGAGAAAGTTAGAGGGGACCTTCCTCACTTTATGATTCAGTGGAGTTTCTGCAGCGATAGATTCTGGGGTACTTATGCAAATATATGCCATTCAGGACTCATTTCAGAATAAATAAACCTAAATTAAAATTAATGAGAAAAACACCTATCAGGAACAGATCAAGGATGGAATATCTCTATCTATCTATCTATCTATCTATCTATCTATCTATCTATCTATCTATCTATCTATCTATCTATCTATCTATCTATCTATCTATCTGTCTATCTATCTACTTATCATCTATCCATCCATCCATCTATCCATCTTTTAAATTAAGAACAGGAAAGCACACTGATTTCTTTTTGTTTTGTTTTGTTTTTGGCAGATGAGAAAAGGACATTTGAAAAATTTCTGATTGGCCACAGACAATACAAATTATCCTTTGGTGTAATTCCAGTATTATCATTATCATTGCAGAAAATCAAGCAATATGATGAAGGAAACCCAGGGGAGATACATTTGATTTATTGAGCCTTGTTTTTGTTTAATCACAGCTTGACAGGGTTTAGGACTGCATCCCTGCTGTGCCTCTGCTGTTATCCCCTCAGCCTGATGAGCCATGCAGAGATGGGGTGGGAGGGATACCCTCCAATGGGAGATATGAACAATGAGGCCACTGAAAATACCCATGTATTTCTATTACTGGAAAGTGGAAGGAAAAGTCCTCTATTTTATGATGGGAGGACAGAAAAGGACCCTTGGGGCTTTCAAAACACCTTAAGGAAATTAATTGGCTCAAAATCCTTCAGACCATTCACAGCAACCAACAGCTTATAGACTTCTTAACACTTAGGGCTGAAATGTAGGATTGATTCCACATAGATGATGACAGTATACAATATTTAATTAAATGAAGGTGTCTAGTGCTATAGTTATGATCGCAGTGAGGCTGGCATGCTTTCCATAGATATTTCAGTACTTAAGTGGTACTACAAAAAAACAGTTAAGGATCCTACAAGTTAGTTATTTCTTCTCCACGGGAAACTGCATCACACATGGGTTGTCATCTTGATTGGAACGACAGGGAGAAAAGGGATTTGATCTCTGGAAGAATAAAGTCCTTGTAAGGAATAGGGAACTTAAGAGGCATGACATTTCCTTACCAACCTCTCACCCAGCTATCCCAGGTTTCCACAAACAGCTTTTCAATTTCTATCAGCAAAAGCCCAAAGTATTAGTAAGATAAACTATATTCTCTAAAACTATTGGATCTACAGAAGCTAACTACAGTCTATCTACAAGGGTAAAATCAAACTAGGGTCATTCTCCAATCAACAATTCCGTTTGTGGGGAAATATCCAGTTCAACAAAATCCCACATACTCCATCCCTGATCCAGACAGGTTTTCAATATCTAACAGCTGTCCTTTGAGAATAGTGTCTGGCTTCATTTTGTTCAATGTTACGAGTATCATAAAGCATGATCAGATAAATATTTGAGTGCATAGCTGCACAAATGCTCTCACAAAGGACACGGAGAGTCATAATGACACTGTGCAAAGTGTGTCTTGGATGGAGCACGACCTCTTTGAAGTTGTCCTTTGGGGCAAATGTGCATGTGTATATTTGTCACATCAAGATACTTGCAAGATGGCAACATGATAAAATGGTGTCAATGTCTGCAACACTAGGTGATGAATGTCTTAAAATAATGGTGGCATGTCAGGAATTCAAAATGTGATACTTTCCACGAACACTTAAGTTTGATGTCAAGTCTGAAGAACAGGCACATTTTAACAGTCTTATTTTTAGTGGCTGGCATAAGAATCACATTTCATTAATGTTTTAGGGAAAGATTTTATTCAACAGAGTTCTTCTAAAAATAGTTTGGACCTTTTTAGAATGTAAGAATGGCTTTTATTAAGCTGTTTAATTGATCATTGAAAACTTGCAATCCTCACTGCAAATATAATTAAGTTTGTGTATCTATGAATACATAGATAGGCAAAATATTGCATTATTGACACTGAATTTCAACACCCGATTCTGGCCTAACTTTTAGTTTGGACAAGTATTAATGAAACATGATCTGTCTTCAAACTAATAAAACAGCAGCGTTCTACCTTTAATTCTGAGCACATTTCCTTTAGAGTATATACAATAATCTTGTTTAATTGGATTTATTTTTTCCACATTGGCCCCTGCATGGCCTACTTTCCATTTTTTGTCAGGTCTTTGAGTGTTATTTGCAAATCACTTTTCTGGAATTTAATTTCAATGGTAGGTTGGTTTCATTTCAGATTTTTTTTGTATTGTTTTAATTTCATTTGCCAATTTGCCTTTAAACAGCCTTAAGCTAGAAGGTTGGGGCTGCAACTTGCATCTAAATGCGATGTAGGAGGCAAATTTTAATTTCAGTGTGTGGAAAATTTCAGTGTGTGAAAAGGAATACAGAATGACTACCTTGGTTTTTTCATCTGTGTTTTCTAAAATAGTTACATTTAAAAGGAAAAGCCCCTGAATTGGCCAAAATTTAAAGAAAAATCGATGTCCTTATAATCTGCTTGAGTTCAACCTCAGTAGATAATTCATTTTTACAGGTACTAGTTCAGATTCAGATTCTATAATCCTGCAAATAGGAGGGTGGTCAGTTAGAGAATCCATATTTCTATGAGCTATAGCATTAAAAATTGCTTTCCTAGTTTAGTATCGTCTTTCCAACTACTGGTGAACCTGAAGTTTAGTCAGGTGGTGACTTGACATGCCTATCAACTGGTGTGGGGGCCAGAGATTGTCTTTCCTTTGTGGGTTTAAACAAACAATTTCAATTGTATGTTACGTTCGTAAATGTGGTTCCCCCTCCGAGTGCTTGCACATTACAGATCATGGAGAATGACCCAGCAACAGAGCTACAGTGATAAAAATCATACTGACCTTGAATGGGGTGGGGGATTGTGGGTAATACACGCTCTGAAGGGGAAAAAACAGTAAACATCACGGAAAGTTTACATAGATATATATAGATATATACCTGACTCATGTTTAGCTACCCAGACAATTATAAAAACAGATGAATTTCCATGCTGTAAGATCCCATCTCCCATAGAGTGTCTGTCTGTTCTTCCTGCCAACACTAAAGTATCAGAGAGCTATTAGTGACACTTAAAATCCCAAGTCTTTTGATAAAATGTAGAAAGAGCAGGGGACAACATCCCATTGTGATGTCCCTAAAAACAGGACCTTACCCTCCACAGGAAAACCCACCACCAAAATTATAGATGTTTTAGAAGATTAGGGTTGAGGGTGTTTAAATTAGTAGTGATCAAGCTCAGGTCATGCATTTTGATCTTGGTTCTGATCTTTTAACTCATAGCAGATGGACCTATGGTGGCTAAGGATGCCTTTCCTCTCCCTAAGCACTATATAGCTCATACCAGCTTTAGACAAGCATCTGGAAAATCTATTTTGGGAAATACTAATTCACCTTCTCCCTCAGGTTTTCACTTCCAGATTAATGATATCAGTGCAAGAGTAATGTCAAGGTAATATGTTTCTTGCCATGATATCATTTTATTTTTAGTCTTTTTCTTAATCCTACCTTCTTGTGGTAATACCATCTCACCTGAAATTTGATCAACCAATCAAATGTGCTTGATGATACATCCTGTTGAGTCATAAGAAGTGTTTTTCTTTTGAACACTTGGGTCTTAGCTTGTGTAGTGCCTCACAATCCCATCCCTGAGCTGCTGAGCACAGATGGCACATGCTAACAGAGTTCAGGCTTGAAGGTATGCTCTACTTATCTCATCCAAACCCCAGGTTTAACTCGAAATCCTCCTCTGAGACTCCTTCGGGAGGGCAGAACAGTGCATTAGAAATCGGATGTATTCCTTGCTACCCCAAACCTTGTAGTGTAATATGCTTTCCTCCTAGCAGCTTGGTTAACTAAAGACCAATGATAAATGAAAATAAAAAAATTCGAAACTATGAAGAGAAAAGTATATATGTGTACACGTATTCCAATGTGATCTTCTTGTCATTTTGTACTATAAGCTTAGAAAGAGTAGGTTTTGCCTGGAATTCAGGCACTCAATACATCTGGATGCAGAAAACCCCATCTCTTTGCAGAGTGGGCTTTTTCTCCAGCGTGGCTGAAAGTTGGAGCTTAAATGCCAAAGTTTCCTAAGTGCATTAAGTTGGGACAGGTCAGTAACAGCACAGCGAACAATTGTGTCTTAGTTACACAAATGTCAAGTTGAAGAATAGTTTAAACATCCACTGGTTATTTGGTGTTAAGTTTCCAGCGTTGAAAATAAATGACTAAACTGCTTTCAGCAGTTATATAGCAGCTGGAGACCACTGTCCCATATTATATTCTCTCTACTGTATTTTATTTTTATTATTACTATTATTATTCAGACTGTTTAAATAACTCAGCTTACTATTTTCTCATCACACTGTTCACAGCTGGGTAGATGCACTCTGCCCTCACTTCCACAAGGCCCTTTGTATTGCTAAATCATCTCACCCACCCTCCTTTCATAGCCCTTTCAACTATTTCCCAGCTTGTCATTATTCTCAGCTCTACCTCCTTATCATTATTTTAGCCCTATGATGCCCCATTAGTTCTTCTCATTCTCTTAATTCCATCCTGTGGATGTATCATTCCTTAGATGCATCCCATCTCAGCTTTTTTGTTTGTATTTTTTTGTTAATCCTCACCCAAGCATATTTTTCTATTGATTCTTAGAGGGAGTGAAAGGGAGGGAGGGGGAGGGAGAGGGAGAAGGAGAAGGAGAGGGAGTGGGAGAGGGAGAGGGAGAGGGGAGAGAGAGAGAGAGAGAGAGAGAGAGAGGGAAGAGAGAGAGAGAGAGAGAGAGAGAGGCATCAATGTGAGAGAGCCACATTGATTGGCTGCCTCCTGCACATGCCCCAGCCAGGGCTGGGAATCAAACCTGTAACCAAGGTGTGTGCCCTTAACTAGGAATTAAACCTGAGATCCTTCAGTGCCTAGGCTGATGCTCCGACTACTGAGCCACACTGGCCAGGGTCCATCTTAGCTTTTTAAAAAAATCCTCACCTGAGGATATTTTTCTATTTATCATCAGATAGAGTGGTAGGAAGGGAGAGAGAGAGAGAGAGAAACATCGGTGTGAGAGACACACATCGACTGGTTGCCTCCTGCATGATCCGACTGGGGACAGGGATGAACCGCAACCAAGGTATGTGCTCTTGACTTGGAATCAAACCCGCAACTCCTTGGTCGGTGGGCTGACGTTCTAATCGCTGAGCCAAACCGGTCAGAGCCCATCTCAGCATTTTATCTTTATTCTTCCACCATCATTCTGCTGTATTTTATAGTTTATATCATGTTTGTGGGCTCCTATAAAGTGAAGTAAATGCCATTTACAAAATGAAAAAGAAATACTCCAATTTTTGATCTTCAAAAGTAGGGGAAGGCAGGAACCTCAGTGCTTTGTGTTTTGTCTCTTGGCTGCTAATACAGGCACACCTCATTTCATCACACCTCCTTCACTGTGCTCCACAGGAGTTGTGGTTTTTACAAATCGAAGGAAGATCCTCCACCAGCAAAAGGATTGCATCTCGCTGTATAGCAAGACTTGCTTTATCGCCATGCTCTGGAAGTGAACGCATGGTATTGCCAAGGTATGCCTGTACCTGAGGAGGTCAACCTAGCAGAGCAACTGATTGGGAGGTTTTAGGAACAGAACTCTCCGGTTGACCCCGGTACCATATAGCATGGCTCTTAGTAACCCCCTTAACTGTGAGTTTCAGTTTCTAAATGAAGGTGTGGGGTACTACCAGCTGATTCTGCTGGGACACCATGGAACACAGTTACATGGGCATTCTCATTTCACAAAAAAACCCTCTGAATGAAAAGCACCTGTATGACAACAGCTGGAGCTGAAGTTGGGTATATACATAGTGGTCATTTATTAACCCTGATGTGATTTTCTTCTCATTTCCAATGGGTATCGCAGATGTTCAGTGGTCTTTCTGGAAGTAAGCATATTAGATGCCTACTGTTGAAACTAAAACTAGTCCTCTGTCTATTTTCTGATATATCCACAGAGAGCCTTTATAAGTAGTTTACAGCCAGTCTTTCAAACTACATGTGGGTAGTGTTCAAATACCTGCTCGAGCTGTGGTATTATATGGCATCCAGAAGTAGCTGCCTCATCATAAGTAGCATCATCAAACACTGTATATTTAAACATTGAGTCCCTAAAATAATAACTTAAAATGGTTTCTGAAGAAGTGGGAGAGGCCCTCATTTTGAGGGCTCTCTCCAGGGCTGGGTTGCTCAGGTAGTACTAGAGATTAATCAAGCATAGTTTTCCAAGTTAATATTCTTTTAAAATTAAAAAGAAAATTTAAACAACACCTACATACTGATGGGGGTACGGTCCAATGTAGATTTCTTTGTATTTTCATTCTTTTGTACTCAATAGCCTCAAACATTGTTGCAAAGTACTTGCCAACCCACACACTGATCAGTGGGATTTCTCTCTTCAATATGTGGCACTATTCCCCTTAAGGGTCAAACGCTGACCATGAGGCTGAAATATCAGTTCAGCATCTCAATGTCCCGAAGAAAAGCCAGCGGTCTACACCGTGGACCCAGGCTGGTGGGAGTGAATGGAAATGAAGAGGATGTGGCGGAAGCAGTGCTCCTGGGTGGGAAGGAACAGAACAGTAGTGGAAAGACCTCAGGAAGTGAAACATGGGGAAAGAAAGGAGAAGTCTTCTCATCTCCCAACAACCAAAGGCACATCTCCTAACATTTCCCTAATGACACAAATCTACACAATATGTTGGTCTTGTCTAGAACTTGGACTCTGGAAACAGAGTTCGTGAATTTAAATCCCAGCAGCCTTACGTGGCTACTTAGTTACTTAACCACTTTGTACAAAGGAGAATATGAGTACCTACTAGGGTTGTGCTGATGATTGAATGAAATCACGCAGTTAAGTGTTGAGCACCTCTGCAGAGCACCTTGGAAGCACTCACTTGATAAGAAGTGATGACATTAAAATCATTATTCTTCCTCCCTGTGTCTTTAAAAGTAACTCAGCATAAGCACTGAAACAAGATAGGGTTCCTTTGGGGGTGCCTCGAAGTCATTGTGGAACCATGAGACCTCTTACGTCACATATGCTGACAATGGAACCACACGTGGCATTGTCAGAAGTCCAAGCCTTCACCAGGGGAGGCATATTCCTCCATCTGACGACTGAGGGGCTGGATCCTAGCCCGTACACACTGTACCAATGGATTCGTGTGTTCAGAAAAATTATATAATGGAACGCTTTGCCCAGGATGGAGAAGAAGATATAAAAGGCATTACTTGGCTCTCAAGACTGAGGTAGTATGAATCCTGGACAAATAAAATCCTAATAATGTGTGGAGAACAAGACACATGAAAAAGAAATGCTTCCCTTGGCTTAGGGAAAAGTTCCTATGAATACAATCATTCTTGCCATCTCTTTCTATTGTTTTGACCACCTTGGAGAGCAATATTTGAATATAGGGTGGAGAAGTATACATATGTATATGGTAGAGGGTAATGTGTATCGGTGACCATAAATTGACACTCTGCATAAACTCAGCACAGGTCACTGTGGTGGACACTGAAAATGTGCTGATGTATCGGTGAAGTTGGATGCTCGTGGACTCTGCAGGGACTCTGGCTCTGGTTTCTACCTGCTGCAGCCTCTGGCTGGCAGCAGCTCACCAGCTGCCTCATCTGCTCTGGACTGGCTGGGTCAGCAGAGCATCCGCTGCCCACACCGTGCTCTCTTCAGGGTGGCCACTGCAGCCAGCCCTCCCAAGCATTTCTCCCCGCCTGACGTGTTCTGTGGGAAAGAACCACTAACAGAGTCTTCCTTCTTCCCATTAAACCCCTCTACCTACATTGAATCTAAGTGATGGGCAGTCTATTCACAGATGCACTTTTTCTCTTTTCTTCCCTCACTGCCTCTCCCCTTCCCTCCCCTCCTTTTCTTTCTGTTTCTTTTTCTTTCTTTTCTATGTGAAATTGGCTACTATAGAGCTTCATTCCCAACGATTCAGCTCTGAAGGCTGTAATAATGCACTTTGGAAACCTAAGTGGTGCTGGTGGGGTGGGCATGGTGGACGTGTCGTTCCTGTTACAGAAGTACAGCTTCCCCTCTAAAATGTCCATACTTGGGCTTTTGGTCTAAGAAATAGGGCAGTAGAACCAATTATTTTTGGCAATTTTAAATAGTTGCTTTTCACCTGCAAACACAATGACTTTTCTCATTCTATTCTTCTGTATTTCACCTCCTAACTTTCCCATAAGGTGGGAAATCAGTGCAAAACCAGATGCTTGTGCCCATGCTGCCTCTGTGTGCTGCTCGGGTCAGAGCTGGCGCCGTTGTGGGCTGTTCCCAGCGGGCAGTTTGGGCACCTGGAAAGCAACATGGCATTCATCGCATCACCGTGCTTCTCACACAGGTAATTGAGGGTGACTGCTATGACATCATTAAGGGCAATGGGATTATGACACACTTGCCAACTCCTTGATTCTCAGTTTACAAATAGAAATTCTGTAAGATTCGTGACATTTACTATCCATTCCTTAATTTTAAAAGACTTTCAAATGGACTTTTGTGAATAGAGTAATGTTAGTATGGAGTTTGGGGTCACCTTTTATCACTACCCGCAGACTAGCAGCATATCCAGTATCTCTGACCCAGCCATGCTCTCTCTGTCCTCCTCAAGTATGCCATTCTTCTGCCTTCCTCTTCCTCGCTCTGTCTATAGCTATCATTTTACTTACTACTTGAAATGTATCACCACTACATTTCTGGGTGGGATAGGAAGAAAAGATACTTTAATGCAAATTTATAGTTGCTCACTGTCTCTGATCCAATTGTCCAATTTTCTCTTTTCCAATCCCTGTAAAACCTCTTGTTAGGTACATGTTGTTCTATTTAACCAGGTCACCCTTGACTTGTCAGAATCCCAAATTCATCCTTGAGCCTGTTTCCCTCCTTATTTATGGAGCTCCTAAAGTCAGAAATAAAACAGGTAACTACATTTCTTAACAACTGTCTTCTCAAGTGTCTTGAGATATTGACATCTATATCTGAAGTAAAGAACACTGATGTTTGGTCTTTGGAGAGAAGTAAACAGGGATATGAATTCTTCATATTGACCCAGTCTGTGTACAGCTGTATCCCATCAAACTCTTACAGACGGAAGTTAATAGAAGTTATGAATAGAATATTTTGTGGTGGTTGTTCCCGATGAGTCGAGTTGGATTTTGAGTCATTTAAAAATAACTTTAATACTACATTTCAAGAGAACTCTCACTTAAATTGATTTTTCTCCTAAAAATCTTTTCTTTCTTGAAGGCTTCTCTACACTGTATAAAGTAAGATGGAGACATCTTTCCTGGCCACAGTATCTCTAGATTTTCCCATTGAACCTGTATAGAAAAAAACCCTCCTAGTGGCTTATTATTCCAAAATAATAATAGTAAATTCTTTGGACTTTCTCCTTTAGTTCAAATAAACTTTCTGACCCAGCATGTGCTAACTTTTTTTTTCTCTACTTATTTTGATAAACATTTTCTTATTCCAAATGTTATCAGCGTTCATGATCTCACCCATGACGCGTCTGTTTCTCAGGGGGTATGTGCTTCTATGCTCAGAGCCACCAGCCAACAAGGCAGGGGGTCAGCTACCTGACTGTCATGTGTTGCTACAGAGCAAGGCCCCAAGGTAGGCTCTCCTACTAACATTGATAACTTATCGCGATGGATCAGTCCCTCCTTAGCCAGCCTTTAGGCTCTTCTTCGGTCTTCAGAAATGCCCCTCTCTCCTACCATTCCATTTGTCTTCTAAAAATACATCAGACAAGCAATGTTTCCTGCTGTCCTATGAAAACCTGTCTGCAACCGTTTTTCCTCCTTTAGATTTTATGTCATTTTAATCATTCGTTCCATTTTTCCTCTTGTTGTTAATAATACACTTTCTTTTTCCAGCCCCTCTCTCTTCTCCCAGCACCTAATCCATCCTCACTGCTTATTAATCACATAATCACTCTCATCACTGCCATTTTCTGTCATCTATTTTCTAGAATGTTGTATCACCTCCGCTCCATAGAAAGACCATCACCAAAGAGATATGTGTTCTTTGAACAAACAATCAAACAAATAAACCAACAAAAACAAGGCAGCTATCAAAAGTAAGCCAGGGAACAGAGAGAGAGGTTATTCCATCTGTAAACCTGTTTTATGTATAGTGATTGAGAACCTGTATTTTTGTTTCAGTGACAATAGTCTGATGTTTGTGTAAATTCACCTCGAATAAATAAGGAAATGATTTTTAAGCTTTCCGTGGGCGAATCTAACCAACTAGATGCTCCCAGATGGGCCTGCTTCGGCATACTTACTGAAAAGGACTAGGCTGGCATTGGTGACCCCCAGCTTGTTGGCGGCCACGCAGGTATAGTTGCCATAGTGGTCCTCAGTGACGTTGGTCACTGTCAGGGAGGACTGGCCCTCCGTGCTCTTGATCTCAAGGCCATTGGCACTGTTTATCCTAAGAGTTCAAAAACAGAAGAGTAAAAAGAAACACTGATGAAGATTCGGCATAGTGATTCCTTTTTTATCATCATATCGGAGGAAAGGAAGAGAAAAGAAGACGTTAGATGTTCCCTGCTTAGTTCCTCATTTGAACTGTGCAATGCCTAATTATCAGAATCAATGTCATGCACAGAGGAGAGTAGGAATGGATGTGTTCCACTGGGCTTTGGTTTCTGCCGTAAGCAAGGAAGACATGCGGGTGGAAACTACCAACAGGACCACCTACCTCACTCTGCATGTAACCCGAGTGCCTTGAGGCTTCAGCTTAAGAATTACAGTCATTAGAGTCCTGAAAGCACTTGATACAGAGATTTGGAAAAGAAAGAGTCTAAGAGTACAGGCCTAGGTAATTACAGTTGGGATTCTTTTTTTTCTTCTTCTGTCACTAGGGTTTCTGGTGTCCTTAGACCACCTATCAGAGCGTCTGGGCACAGCAGGTTGGCACACACATACCTGGTGTCATCCCGGTACCACTCGAAGTCCGGCGCAGGTACTGCCGAGGCCTCGCATTTGAGGGAAGCTTGTCGCCCTGTGGTGGCTTCGTTGCTCTTGGACTCCGTGATAGTGGGAGGATCTGTGGGGAGGACACGCACACCATTTACATGACAGTCACAGGGCACTCCAGGATGTCCATGCAAGAAGGAATTATAAAGGAGAATGTGATTGGAGAGGCACAGGAAAGAAATCGTTGTAGAGCTCCATGTACATGAATTTTGAGATCAGCTGAATGGAAATGATCACTAAAAACTAGATGAAAATAAGAGATGATTAATGAAACCACAGACTTGGTTTACGTAAATGGGACACTTAACTGGGTTTTATGGTAATGGAATCTAGGATTCTTTTCCTTCCTCCAATACACCATTAATTACTTCAACCACAGATTGTAATATTGCATAGCAGTGGTACTAGAGGACTTGAGACTTTAATGCATAATTTGAGCATTTTTCTTTTTTGTCATCATCATTATCACCGTTGTGATTGTTCCAGTTTGAGATGACAGTATGAAGTCGGATGAAAATAATACAAGGCTAAAGTTCTCCCGACCCAAGCTTAGCCTAATATTTTTTCAGGAATTCAGAAAAACAAACAACTAGTATTAGATGATTACTTAACCCTTCCTCTTCTGCATTCCCTTATTGCTAGGACCCAGGCACACTGCTTTTATGTGGAAAGATGCAGTTTGAAGTCTGTCCTGATTCACAGAAGCCTTTCTGGGCGCCAACCTTCTACTCTTCCTGGCAGCTGCACACACTCATATATATATTTCTTTTATCCAATACACTCCCAATTTTTAAAAAATTTATCAACTTTTAAAGAGTGACAGGAATGGGGTGGGGGGGGCAGATAGAGGAGAAAGTCAATTTGTTTTTCCACTTACTTATGAATTCATTGGTTGATTCTTGTGTGTGTCCTCACCGGGGATTAAACTTGCAACCTTGGCATATTGGTACGATGCTCTAACCACCTGAGCTACCTGTACCACTTTTTTTTTTTTTACATTCAATATTATTTTGTATTAGTTTCAAGGGTACAACATAGTGGTTAGATAATCAGATACTTTACAAACTGTTCTCCCTGATATTTCTAGTACCTACCTGGCACCATGCATAGTTATTACAATATTATTCACTGTATTTTCAATGTACTTTAACATCCCCATGACTATACTGTAACTACCAGTCTTTACTTTCCAATCTCCTCACCTTTTTTCTCCCAGTCCTCCAACCCCCCTCCCCTCTGGCAACTGCAGTCCCTTCTCTGCAGTATCCATGGGTGATTCTTTCAAGCAATCCTGCAGAGGGTGGAACAGGTGTCTACAAGTCCATGTGATGGAGTTGGGATGGCTCCTGGCTTGATGATGCTGTGTTTGTGGAGGTTCTGGACCTTTACGAAAAAAATGAATTATTTGTCCAAAACCTATTTGCCAGAAAACCTGGCCGCATGTGCATGGAAGAAAAAGACCCAAACAATCTATGTAGACTTTGCAGAGGAAAAAGCTTATTTAAGGAAAATAGTAAAGTGATTTTAGTACATAAAATTTGTTTAAATCTCTTCAGTGCTTGATTCAGCTTGCTTATTTCTGAGTTTTTTCTTTCCATTCAAAAACTATTTCCCCAGTTTTCTGCCTAGAGAAGAGTCTGATCTTAGTTTTAAAAGATGTATAAAAGCATCCAAGTTAGTCTGCAATTTTCCCTCTCATTTCATTTTCACATAAGTTTGGCTATCTTTAAATCGTTGTCAGAGAAGAGGAGGTGGAGCACACTTAGATGAGCACCACCAGCCTGTGTGTGAACAGGCATGCCAGAGTGGACGATGGTGGTTGTTGATTCAGAATTATCGGTTCATTTTGGTATAGGCAAAAAAAGCAACATAATGAGTGGGAAAAACCCTGGGTTGAAAACTAGAAGTCCTGGAATTTCATTTCAATTTTCTTCTGAGTCTTGGTTTTATTACCTATGTAATGAGGGAACCACATTTCAATGATCCTATAGTGTCCCATCCAGCTAGGAAACAAAATCTCAGTTCTACTCAAAACTGCCCATTCTTTACAAATGGGCAGCTTGTCTCATTATGACCCAAAGTATTCTCATACTCATAACTCATTTAAATCTTCAATTGCTAACTTTCAAAATTATAGCTCATTTATCTATTCCATGGGTTAGGAGTCAGGATTAGCAGTCAGAAATAGAAAACATGAACTCTCATTTTGAATCTTCTCTTAACCAGAGCTGTGGTCCAGGCAATATTCTGCAACAGTTTAAGCCTTTTCTTTCTTTATCATTTAAAATGACGAGTTAGTTTAAAATGAGCACCAAGGGATTCTATGTAAAATCTTTCACTCTTTGATTTGTTATATAGATCATCAGAATACATTAGTTCAAAGAATAATGCAATAATAACAGGGGATAGTAGTGTTGGGAGAGGAGATATTTACAGGGATGGGACACCCAATAGAGGTAAAAAGGTTGGATTTAAAGATCGATAAACCTGAGCTCAAATCTAGCTCTGTCCCTAATTTTCCTTCCTCATTTGATTGCTTAATACATTGTCTAGAGTCACATTGTTTAAATTTTCTCATCTATGAAATGTTGGAACTAGAGACAAGGAAGTCCATTTGGAGATTGCTGAAGGATTCCAGAGCAAGCCTGCACTTGGTCTGTGACAAAGAGACTGGAAAGAAATGGACAGATGCTCCAACCACTGTCAAAGATAGGCAAGTTTCTGGCTTAAACATCTAGAGATGCCATCCACTGAGATAAGATACATAAGAAGAGAAATGATGATCAAGCAATAATACCCTGAATGAATATTAGTTTCCTGTCCTTAGCTCTTCACTGTACAGTTAGTTGACCCTTGAGCAACACATGTTTCAACTGTATGGTTCCACTTGTATGTGTGGGTTTTAAAAAAATAAATACTATAAATGTTTTGACATTTTCTTTTCTCTAGCTTACTTTATTATAAGAATCCATTATATAATACATGCAACATACAAAATATGTGTTGACTATTTATAATATCCATAAGATTTCTGATCAACAGAAGGCTATTAATAGTTAAATTTTGGGGGAGTCAAAAGTTATACGTGGATTTTTGACTGTGCAGTGGCAGGCACCCCTAACCCCTGCATTGCTCAAGAGTCAACTGTATTAGGTTCTTAAGCTGCCAAAAATGTCACCATTTGTAGCATGTTGGCTGGAGAAATGATCTTGCTCATGGGTCAACTGCTTTGTTCAATTGCTCAAATTGTGAAATGAGTTTTAACCAGTTTGTGGGTTTCTGAAGCCACATCGTTATAACGGACAAATCCTCAATGATGACTACGGCTATGCTCACTCAGCCCAAAACCTGGGCCAGATTACACATTCACCACCTCTGTCTCTGGCACTCATAGCTGTGACACCTCCACGTGATGATGCCAAGGTGGACGCCCTCCAATTCCTCCACCAGGAGACCCAGAAAACAGGTCTCAGCTCTCCAGTTTCATGGGAGAATTCTGCCTTGCTCTGGGCGTTTCCTTGCATATGGCAGGGCTTAATGAGTGTACCTCCTTGCTCTGGGACCTGGGGGAAATAAATGGTTTTCTGATTGAACATTTGGGGAAGAACAAAGCTGGTTTGTTTGGCTCAGCTCTTCCCCTTCTTTCTTCTGGGAGCAAGCTCCTGGTGGGGATCAGAGGTTCTCCTCTGCTTCTCCACACTGAGGTTTTACTTGGGCTTTCTCCTTCCCACTGATGTAGGAGTGCCTGCCCCACCACAGGCTGCCATAACTGGTGGTGGTGGTGGTGGTGGTGGTGGAAGGTGGGGGGTAAATCAGTCATACAAGCTCCTACGTCTAACCACCTTGATCTCTAACAATGGGACCAAATGGGACCTCCACAATGCTTCTTATTTCTCAATGTGCTCTGAACCCCAACAGCTAAGTAGTAAGCTGTTTAATAACTCCTCAGAGATGCCAGCATGGGAAAGGGGCAGTAAACTAGGGTTGACTACTATGAACTGTGCTAATCTTGGGACAAGATGACACCAGCCAATGACAAAGGCCAAACACTTGCTGCTTGAAAACCTAGGAAGTTTCTCCTATTAGGGTAAATCCACAGGTAACGACAAATGTATGAAGAGTCCGTGGTTCCCACTATTTCTCAAGTGATACAGTGGTGTAGGCCTGTTTGTTCACGGTTTATTGGAATGAATATTTCAAAATTAATTTGTGATGAATTCTATGTAGGTGAGGCTAAGAAAAGTTATTACAACTCATAATATGGCATGCCTACTGTAGTTAAAATAATAGATGTCCTTGCTCAAAATATGGTTATAATAAAAATGCGACTTAATAAAAATGCTGCATGGAGGTCCATTGTTATTTGTTATATGACTTTGGAATAGCTTACAATTGTCAAAGGACTCTTCCAGTTTTATTACTTCAAAATTCTGTGTTCTGAAAATATTAATAAGGGTTTTCTTCTTATATCACCAGTAACAAGACGTTTTCGATGAGAATGAACAGGATAACAGTGACAGTGGCCTATCAAACAGAATAACATTCATTTACTCTTCCTAACATTAGGAATAAGAATTTAAGTAATATAACTGTTAATGACAAATTCAACTTATAAGCATTTACAATATGTCAGCACTCTACAAGGCTTTAGATTATTCTTTTCAGCCATTAGGAGGTAAGGATTGTGAATCCATTTTATAAATGAGAAGACAGACCTACGGAGGGTTAGTAACTTGTCCAAGTTCACATAGCCAGCATTTGAGGGAGTCCAGATGTGAACGCCTCTCTCTGAAGCCCACGCTCAGAATCTCCCTGTGCTTCCATTTGAATGAATCCCTCAGGAAAAAAATGAATTCCTGCTCAGGGAAAATACCATTCAGAGAAGCATGCTGGTAGCTTAAAAGGTAAATGTTACATAATTCTGCTATAACAGATAAAAAATGGCACACCACCAGTGACACGGTTATAAACTCACACTAGCAATCAGGAGAGGTGGGCTCGATTTCTGTCAGTGCCACTTAGGGTGTCACCTCCCAGAGCCCCTGATCTACGAGTGTAGATGATGATACC